AATAAAAGATGTTAGATATTTTCTGCTTTTTATTTTCCATTCCAATAAAATTAAATCGTGCTGTACAAGACGGCTTCGGGTCCCGAAGCACAACCACCCTTAAACTACGCGTTGCGAGGGTTGGCGTAATATGGAGATTATATGAAAATCGCACTTACCTTTATGTCCCGTTCACGGCCTGCAGGTGCCTAGGCCTGTCGGTGTCAGCCGAGTCAAAAGTGACTGCCATACAGTCTAAAGGCGCCAGCAATGCTGCACTCCCGATGCACCGCTTTTCACAGAAGCTCGAAAGTCGACACGTCCGATGTGCTCTTTTAGATTTACATCCGTCCACTTCCGACGCTGACCCTCAACTCCTGACGACTCACGATTCACTCCCTTCCCCACACACCGCGCCAGACTTTAGCGGTGGGGATTACAAAACTACTCTCTTATTTGTGCAAATAAAAACAAGTCGACTGACCTTCTCTAATCTCGTAACAGAAAATAGAAATTCAAAACTTTTGTCAAACAAAATATTTTAATAAACTAAATAAAAGAGAACATTCATAATCTTACTATTATAAATGCGAAATTTTAGACGGATGGATGTTTGCTTGAAGATATCTCCAAAACAGTTGCATGAATCTTGCTGAAATTTGACATAGATGTAAAACATAGTCTGGAAGAACACATAGACTACTTGTTAAGTTTTTCTGAATTTCGCGCGCTCGCGGGTGACAGCTTTGACAGTTAAAAAACAAAAGCCTTAATCTTTGTCTTATGTCAAAGATGAAACATTCCCAACATTACCAGATTGCCACATCAAAATAAAACAGCCGAATAAATTAAAATAAATTTTATTTTAATCATCAGTGATAGTATTTTATCTCAAATCTCGTAATTTCCCTCGAATTTACACTAAGTTTTTTTTTACAATATCATACATTAACGAGTTTTTTTCAATGAAACAAACAGACAAACAATTAGTCATAATTATAATAATGACTAATTTAAAATATTGCATGTTTAAAAAAATTATTAACTCTTTTTTTTTGATAGGACAGATGACATCATACAGTATATTCAATTTTTAATTGGTGGCATAGTTATATACCCCCAAGGGGATGTAGACTTAGGGCAGTCTTTCCCAAAGTGTGCGATAACATCCCCTTGTGCTTGCTGCAGGTCTCAAGTTGCGGGTTATAGTAAAAGTTTCCTTTACAATTCTCCGTTAATATACATATATAGGTCACAATAATTAATTAATTTCATTTGAAGTTATAGTGGTTTTTAAATATGTGAAAATATGGGGGCGTTTAAAAAATATTTATTCTCAAAGTGGACAGTAGACAAGTTTGGGAACCACTGACTTAGGGGTAATAGATTGACTACCTTTGGGTTTCCGAGTCTAAAATCTCCGTTTATAATGTTATTTCTGTGTTGTTTAAGATATTGATGACGATAAGTATTAAACGAAGTTTCTGGTTTCAGAAACCCAGGCTTAGTTAATCTATTACCCCTACACCCTTGGGGGTATAAATGTTACTATATCCCAAATGAAAAATTGAACATTCTGTATAATGTCAAATTATTGTCAGTTCGCTTTACGTATACAGGGTGTCCCAAAAGGTTACGTACATAGGAAGGGGGATGATAGGGGTGGTCACAAGGGTCACCAGAAAAATTAAATAAAAATTCCCCTCTGGGTATTAAAAAAAATAAATGGCATTTTTTAAAAACTTAAAAATTTTAAACTTTCTGGGGCAATTTTGTAACCGATGACCTACAAATATTGCTACATTTAAAAAAAGCTATTATGTTATCGTCAATAACCCTTTATCAATATGAAATAAAAAAAACAATACAACTAACAAAGATTTTAAAGAAAATTAAAATTGCCCCAGAAGGTGTAAAATTTTTAAAGTTTTTAAAAAATGCCATTTATTTTTTTAATACCCAGAGGGGAATTTTTATTTAATTTTTCTGGTGACCCTTGTTACCACCCCTATCATCCCCCTTCCTATGTACGTAAGCTTTTGGAACATCCTATATATAAAATGAATTGTCTGTCTGTTAAATCGTTTATAATACTGTATACATAATTTCATATAAAAACCACGTATTATTTTAATAAAACCCATTTTTATAAATACATATTGTACTTATATTCATAAATAACTCATTTTTACAACTACCTACCAAATATGAGGGTAGGCAGAAATATAAGAATTAAACCTAATTATAAATAAATGAGAAAAAAATACCAGAAATTGATCGAAATTTACCATTAAAATTGTGATGTTATTGACAGTTCACTTTTGTTTAATATTTGCCAAACAATCATCATCAGCTCACTATACGTCACCACTGAGGGGCTCGGAGCCTACCCTAAGTCATGTGACTAGGTCATAGTCAATGCTGGCCAAGTGCAGGTTGACTTCACACATATCTTTGACATTCTCAGATATGTGCAGCATCACGATGTTTTCCTTCACACTAACAACATAAGATAAATGTACATATGTAACACATTGATACATGGCGGGATTCGAACCCAGGACCTGCGGATTGCAAGTCAAGTGCTTGACCACTGAGCCACTGATGCCAAACAATACAATTATGAAAAACTTGTGCAAATATTGGACAAATACAATTTTGGACATTTTAAAGCTTTTTTTTATAGAGAATAGAAGAATAAAAACTAAAATAATAAAAATATAATTTATTTCATATGAATAGTCAATTAAATTCATAAGGACTTAGAAATACTTAATTATATATACAAATGTCTAGATAATTTCGTAGATTTTTCGATTTTTAACTACCCAATAAAAAAAAAATAACTGAAATTATCAAAAACTCCAAATTTTACTATCGAATTCAAACTACCGAACAATGATACCTCATAGACATCACTAACTGTGGGTTTCTGAGAACAAACTATAAGTAAACAGATATAATATGTTTCAAACGTAGATTTTAGCCTCAGAAAGCCACTATAAGACACAATTACGCTTTAAATTGATAGAGGTAGACGCCAGTGTCGAAAATCCGCTGTGATTTTAAAGTTTTCATACATGCTCGCGATTTAAAAAGGTCAATAATCCGCGTTTCGTCTTAAATCAAGATATAAAAAGAATGTTTGGATCTATTTAAGGCCCTAATTGTATTCCATACCAAGTAAAGGGCAGGGCGAGATGGGGCGACAGCCCTGGGCTACAGATACAAAAAGGGCGTCAGGACACATAAAATACCCTATCTTTGGAAGACTTCGGGGGCGTCCATGATGTGAGGTGTTTAAGGGGGAAGGGGGTCGAGTCAAATCTCATCTAATCTTACGTTTGAGAGAGGGGGGGGGGGTCCCGGCAAATATCACGCTATTTTTTTTTACAATAACAAACCAACGTGTTAAGAAATTCATTTTTTGAAAAATCTCACGTAAGATTGGGGTTGAATAAAATCTCACGACATCTCACCAGGAGCAGAAAGAGCAGAAAATTACAAAAAAAAACACCTCACGTAATTTATGGACTCCTCCTTCCTGACACCAAAAAAAATCCCAGGACATCGGAAATACTAGTCTGCTTACATCATCAATATACCACCACTTATATAAACTCTATAAATAGACTTGCTATAAGACGTAATATTTTGTGCCTTCGCCATATTGAAACTAAGTGATCCATCGGATTTAAACTTATAATAAATAAAATTAACAAAGATAAAACTGTCATATCTAATAACCTGAGGGTTAAACAAAATTATTTTACTCTGAAGCAATTCTATAACAAACTTCACTATCACGTGACTTCATCATCAGCTCACTATACGTCCCCACTGAGGGTCTCGTTACCCTAAGTTAACTAGGTCATATTGAATGCTGGACCAGTGCGTTTCACACATATCTTTGACATTCACAGATATGTGCAGCATCACGATGGATTCGAACCTAGGAGGTACAGATTACAAATCGAATGCTTAACTCCTGAGCCACCAACGCTCACGTGACGTATCCAAAGTTCAGTTCTTATATATTTAAGAAGTTCGTTATGATTTATCTATGATAAAGTGTGATGTGGGGGTGGGGGTGGGTGTGGGGGTGGGCAGTGCTAGCAGTGCGGCAGGTAGACGTCCGCCTCGAGACGGCGCACGCGCACACGCTGCCTGTAGTGGTACTCCTTGAGGAATGATCTCAGCCGCGCCGGCAGCGGCAGCTGTTCCACACCTGGAAGATTACATTACGATAATATATAATACCTACATTCTTAAATATACATATAAAAATCTGTCAAGTTTCATATATATGCTAACTAAAAGAACGTACCCATACTACGTGACCTACGTGACCCCTCCCTCCCCTCGATAACCACTAAGTACATGCAAAGACCCCCCCCCCCCTTTAGTTTTATTTTACTTAATAATTCATAATTATGATTTTTTAATCATTTCACAGGCAAAAATTGAAAAAAAAAACTAGTAAATTATGAAAAAAGAAACAAGTAAGGAGTACGTGACTAAAACCCTCCCCCCTCCCCCCTATTCTGTGACTGACCGGAGTATTTTAAAGACTCCGCCCCCTCCTCTACACGGGTCACGTAGAGATACGTTCCCTAACATTAGGACACGACAATCTTACTAATATTATAAATGCGAATGTTTAGATGATCGTTAGAAGATAACTCCTATCTCCAAGATACGCCGGTACACCGGCACAGTGTCGGATTTTCTTCCTAACATACAAATAATAAAATTGTCATATCTATATAACTATAAAAATCTCTGTCTGTATGTCTGTCTATAAGCTTTATTTGTGCCTGTATATCTCCAGAACGGGTGAATCAATTTGAACAGGACTTTAACTGGAAGGTAGCTGATGAAGGCGGCCATGTTTACCATCATATGTTGTGTGTGAGACGATGACAGCTCTCGCGAGCTGCTGCAGGGAGAAGGGCTCGGTGCGAGGAAGAGGCGCCGTCAGCATCGGCTCGAAGAACATCACACAAGCTGGATCCTGGAATCATTTATTTTTATTATATACTAGCTGTCGCCCGCGACTCTGTCCGCGTGGAGTGAAAAAAAAATAGTTGACAATTTTCTAATATTTTAAACCTTCTCTAGACCTCCACGATTTCAAGACCTAGATAAGATAAATCCGTTCCGTTCTCGTGTTTCAGCGAGACTAACGGACATCAATTGATTTTTATATATATAGATAAAATAAAAGCTGATATTTTGTTAATTTTTTGGAACATTCCAACTAAGGTTTATACTTGTGCTAGGATATGGTTAACGACATCGAATAGGATTCGAACCCCCGACCTCGTGATCCGTATCCTTAACCATTAAGCTATTGACTTGATATTAAAGAAATCCAGAGGCCAACATGAGTTATACAGGACCTCGTCAGCTGCAATATCATCACTCAACGTTTCTCAAGTGTGAAGCAATTCCTACACTCTGATAAGTGTGCTGAAGGCCTGATTTTACTTCTCTTTCCTTTCCCACTCCTTTCTTATACGTAAAGGATCGAAGGATAACTGAATTTGACAGAGGAAGGGACGCATAAGGGGAAATAATCTCTTTCTCCGCGTCTTTTACTTGCTTGTTTGCCAAAAAATATAATCAAGTCAATTAATTAATTTTTCATACATTTTATAAATAGTCAAAATTACCATGATTTTGTTCAAATGTTATAACTCTTGTTATATTGAACTCATAAGAGTTAGAGCTGTCAAGATATGTGAATACTATTATACCTTATAACATATATAAAAAGGGCTAAAACACTGACTTATATACGTCAGGTGGCGGCATCAATTAGTTTCAAGCCCATCGGGGGCCCTTCATCAGGTTGAATGGGACTGGTATTATATCTAGTCGGTGCCACCGGACGAACATACGTCAATGTTTTAGCCGTTTGTATATAAGTTTATTATAATGTCTCAGGATAGTTTGAATACCTTATAATGTTCAATCAATCCAGTGACTGTCGGCGCTGCGAAGACAGCTGGATCGTGCGAGTCAAAGCTGAACCTGTGCTGGTAATGTTCGATGCGCGCGTGCAGAGAACGTCCGTATTTACGGAACGATACAGAAAATAGATGTTCCTCTTGCGCCGAGTCCCGGAGTAGGAAAGTGCCTGCAGAATACATGGTTATAAGTATACTTCTATTCATATATCTTGGTGGCTCAAGGCGATAACCGCAACACAATTAACCCTTATGTTCATACTACCTCATGTATAGTATACCATACATACAACTTTATAAAAATACTAGCGGACCCGACAGACATTGTCCTGCCTACATGTGTTTAATTTGAATAAATTAATATGAAGTTAATATTTGATGAAAATTGTGAATCTAAACCATTCCCAGATCCCCTTGAACACACACAAAAAATTTCATCAAAATCGCTCCAGTCGTTTGAGAGAAGTTCAGTGACATACACACTCACAGAACAATTATATATATAAAGATACGATCGCTATAAAATAATTTTTAACTTTGTTTTTTTGCTTTTCTTAAAAAAATAAATCATGCCACAATAAGGGTTAACATTGTTTCGTCCTCGAAAGAACTTCGGAGCCGCCGAGATATTTGAAAA